ATCGACCAGCAGCCCGAATTTATTTTTGCCCCAATTTGTACGCGCTGCTTCACTCAAAATACATTGCGAAGCAACCTCGAAATTACGATATTTTCGCAAAATCAAATCTTCAAACCCGTAAAAACAAAATTCTTCCTCGAACATGAATAATTAACAAACTGTATCACTCTTATTATACGCGTTTCGCCTATTGAAAAAACACGCGAAAAAAGAAAGAAAGAGTACAAATAAAATTCCAGCAAATCTTTCGGAAATGCAGAATTTTACCCTCGAAATAAATCAAATTTTCCATGCCGGGTGTTTCTCATAAATTCAACTAAATACCATCGTTAAGTGCACGGAATCTCTTTGTAACTCCTTATCGGTCGTTGAAAACGAAAAAAAAAAAAAAAACGCTGTTGATCGGTTATCCAGGTTCTGAAATAAACCAGCAGCAACGCTGTTAATTCTAATTGTAACGCAAAACCAAAACATTCGTTCCGCTCGGCAAACGCGAGAGAGGCTCGATTCTCTTCTGAATTATCCAGCGAAATTTCCCAGCCGGCGAATTGTTCGAAATTCAGCGTGCAGCGGGGACAAAAGGGCGCAGCAGCGGCGCGAAAGATCCAAAGGTAGAACGAGCACACTTTTCAAATCGATCATTGTTACACCGTCGCGCAGGCTAACCGGATGGTGTATGGTTTTTGGAGCTAAATGCGGACGGCATCACGGGGATTAATTTATGCAGCCAGACGATCGATCGACTAATGGAGTTCACGAAGTTGAATATAGCCGGGCACGGCTCGCGATCGTTTTCGACCAATTTTATTCAGTTCGAGGGTTTAAAAATATATTTTTCATTTTTTTTTTTTTTATTTTTCCAATGATCGATTCTCTTGAAATTGTGGTGAACGCACAGGTGTGAGTGTAGTAACGTGAAAAAGAGATAATTACCTATTTTACCACGATATTTTTTATTCAATTCGAGGGTTTAAAAATATATTGTTGATTTTTTCCTATTTTTCGAATGATCGATTCTCTTGAAATTGTGGTGTCGTTTTCGACCAATTTTATTCAGTTCGAGGGTTTAAAAATATATTTTTCATTTTTTTTTTTTTATTTTTCCAGTGATCGATTCTCTTGAAATTGTGGTGAACGCACAGGTGTGAGTGTAGTAACGTGAAAAAGAGATAATTACCTATTTTGTCACGATATTTTTTATTCAATTCGAGGGTTTAAAAATTTATTTTTTATTTTTTCCTATTTTTCGAATGATCGATTCTCTTGAAATTGTGGTGATCGTACAGGTGTGAGAGTAGTAACGTGAAAAAGAGATAATTACCTATTTTACCACGATATTTTTTACTCAATTCAAAGGGTGAAAATATATTTTTCATCTTCCTTATTTTTCGAATGATCGAGATAATTTTGAAACTTTTGCAACATTTCACAGTCACAGGCTTAATCGTATAAACGTGAGTGCAATAATGTTAAAAAGACCTAAATGACTCTCGATTGTATATATTTCGAAGCTTGTGGCTTTGTTTTCTCCCTTTTAATTTTGCATCTGAGAATGATACAACGAATGCAGTGACGATTAATTAATAGAAAATTCTGAAATTGCTTTTAAGAAGAAAAATGAAGATAAAAAGAAATCTGGATAGTACATGTTTTGAAATTTGTGGCTTCACTTTCTTCTTTTTGCAATTTCACGTCTTAGGACGATTAATTAGCAGAAGAATCGAACGCTATTTTCAAAGGGAAAGATAAACGAGAAAGTTTGCAAACGTGCAAAAACAGAAAATTCGTTATTTTCGTAGGAATATTAAAACGATAGACGAAGCACGCAAATTGTAATTAGAAGTAGAACATAGACAGGAAATGGTAAAACGGTGAAAGAAGAAAGGAATGTTGAGAAAAACATGTTGTTGAAGAGCGGAACCTTTGATTTTCGGTTCCGCGTATGTTTCCTCGTTTTTTTTTTTTTTTTAACATTTCTTCTAAAACATTTCCCCGGATCCCGCGACCAGAACATACGCAATTAATCAGAGATTTTAACGATGTTTCGATCGCCCTATCTGCGCGCTACCCTCAAAATTACATTTCCGCGTCAATTACCCCTGAAACGAGTAATTAGAATAGATATCCGGGGAACGAATCGAAAATATGCAAATATAATAATAAAATAACCGGCGGTTACGATCGACACCATTTCAACGCGTCTGTAACTTAAAACATCCGAAACATTAATGGAATTACAGTGTGAATAGAAGCAGCGATGAATTTGAAAAGCAAACAATGCTCGAAAATTAATCGACTTGGAAATCCGTTTCGATAAACAGCTGTACAATTTACTTTCTAATCGTCGTATCTCTAACTGAACTGAAAATAGAAAAGAATTCTATTCTCTTTAGGCACTTGTTCGTCGATAAAGAAGCACACTGTTTGAAAAGGTTCGCGAATTTAATTTTCTGTAATTGTCGAAAACAAGTATACGACGAAAACCCAATTTTGGAAAGAACTCATTTCACTTTGAAACATGTAAAAAAATATTAGAAAATTATAGATCCTGGGATTTAAAGATACGCTTAATATTTTACATGGTGCGAACGAAAATGTTCATATTATTCCTAATTTATCAGTGTTAATGAAACATATCGCTTAGAAAATTCCTAAAATATCCACATTTTCCATATGTTTGAAAAACAAATTTCAGTCCGATAAATTTTCAACATTTACCACGACAAATCTCAATTTCCCTATAATTTTATCTTCCGGTGGAACGGCCGCGACACCGTCGTGAATTTCATTTAGAATATTCCACGCTATAAAAACGCAAATTCTCAACTTGCAAAGAAACGAAAAGTTATGCATGTTAAGGTTTAAATAATGCAAAAAAAAGGGAAGGGCTTTTGACGTTGGGTGCGCCTCTCTGGTCACGGAGATTCTCCAATCGAGCACGTGCTCCGATCGAGCTCCCTGGAAACTAGATCCGCGGGGATTATCTTTCGTGCAAGATATACAGGCCTAATCTGGCCAAGGAGAAAGAAAAAGTCCCGCGATAAGTCCGATCTGACAAGCTCCGTCATCCAAGTATCGTCGATTTTCCACGATCCGCGCGTCACGCGGAAACCCGGGAATTCTCTGCGTTTTCCCTATCGATCGAATCAAATACAAGAACGGTGTTTCGTGCACGTTCCTGTAATTTTAACACGTCCCGTGTGTCACGCGAAAGCTGCAACTTTCAACAGAATTTTAAAACGTTTAAAAAGTTGAAATTGTCATTGAAAATTAGTGAAATGATTATGTCGAGTCTGGATATTTTTACGCCTTTCCTGACAGCACAGCGGAAAATATGGTACACGGTGAGATAAAGATCTTTTTGATACTTTTGTATCGGCGAGTATCAAACTATTTATTATTCACAGAAGGATGATGAATAAATTCTGAGAAATTGGAATATTGAAATGATCTATAGATAAGAGATACTGTTAATAATCTATTCAACGTTCTGCACAAATTCTCAGAATTCTTCTATGCAGTTGTTCATTGGAATATTGTACAGCTACGTGAATTAGACTTGGTAGTACCAACTGAAATGTAAATGCAAATGCAACCAGTGTACAAAGGGCTAATTACACAGAGTTATTTAAATTGCGTTAATTTGTGAGTCTCCTCATGTGAAATTATTTGCATGTAAGTTGTAACAAACAGCAGCTTCAATGCAATTCTAAAATTTCATTCTTTCGTGGGAAAAAGTGAAATATATTTTCTTTGTAGTTGTAACAATATTGTAGAATCGATCTCCAACATTTATTCATCACAGTAGTAATTACTTCAAAATTTAATATAAAATATCTCTAATTTTTGTTTCAATACTGTATGAACAAATAAACAATAACTTGTATTCAAAAAGTTGCATTATTTCAAAATCAAGTCTTTTCATAAATATGTCTTATGAAGCTATTATTCAGTTAATCAGAAATTCAAAACTGTCATGGAAACAGTATGTGTCATTGTACCTGATCATTCAGTTTATTTTTACACATATATCATATATGTGTACCAGCAGGCTTCTAAATATAGGATATTTGATTTAACACATTATTATTACAGCACGTTAATAATTTCCACTTTCTACACAAATATATTTTTCCAATAAAAAAACTCTAAAAACATTTACACACACTTATCAATATTACAAATACAAAGTATTTCAAACTTTCAAAAACGTGTGCAGCACCCAGTGCGCACAGTTCAAGTTAAATATTAAATTCGTGTTCCGTTACTTTCGAACTCTCTGTCAATACAAAAGTACCAATATTCCGGAAAAAAAGAAAAGAAAAAAATAATGAAAAAAATAGAACAGGTACTTATATGCTGACGCGGCGGTTCCAGTAGTTCGAAAAACAAAAATCGGAAATAACGACGCAGCCAACGGTTAATGAGTCAATACGCGTTAAGTGTTACCCTCGCAACTTTTCCGCGCGCGCGTCCCCTCTGGCGAAATTCGTGTAACTCTTTCAATTAAAACTTTCGCGCGCGGTTCATCTTCCCCCCCACCACACCGCCCCGACCGCTTCACACGGTACTCCAAAAAACATGGAGGAGAGAAAAAAATTAGAGTGCAACGGAATAATGAGTTGCACGAGGAACGAACGCGACCTGGCGGCGGAAAACTCCGGATTTTCCAAACTAACCACGACCAGTGAATTTCGTTTCCCCCGTTGAACGCACGAAAATTTCTACTCGGTCTGCAACATAACCTCTGTTCGTCGATATGTGCGCGGTATAGAACGATCGACGTGCTCGCGCGGTACAATTATACACGCGACTACACATCGCGACCGAAGGCAAAGAAAATGACAACCTTGAACCACGGAGCCGTTAGCCCGCGAAGTTAAACTTTGACTCTGACGGCAAGATTTTGCCGGATCGGCGCAACGACGACTGATTTACGAAGCCTCGCTGCGAAAAAAAGTCGGATCACGTGGCGATACGGTGGTAATCGGTCGACTCACCTTGTGGTGCTGCATGATGGCAGTGGCCTTTCGCTTGGCGGACATATTCAGTCCCGACGCGCGTGTCTTTCTTCTCCTCGTGGAGCGGCTACGATGTTTCCGTCTCTTTTTTGGCCGCGTCTCCCTTGCACGGTTAGGTTATTCTCTATCTCGCTCGGTCTATCAGCTTTTCCCTCGCTGGCGCACCGTACGCGCCCTCTAAATGCACCGGCCGGATCTTTCCAAAACAAAAGCAGCTGCGTCGATGTTCTTTTTTCCCCGTTTCACACTCCCTCGTACTCGATCCTCGTCCCGTTGTTGTCCTTCTCGTTCGTTCGAGCGAGCACACGAAACGATAACAACCGACGTGTACGTAGAGAAGTCGTGTTGTAGAAAGATACTACGAATTCGTCTCGGTGGCACGTTTTACTCGCAAACTTTCCCAGAGTTCTCCGCTTTAGTCTCGTCTCTGTTCGACACGCGCTCCGTCTTCCTCTAGTTGCCCATATACACACAACGCGCGCTGTCGTCTGTCCTTGTCCGGCGCACAGTCCGCGAACTTTAAGCTCGCGCACAACAACACCACGCAGCGGCGCCGCGAGCCGCCGCGATAAAATTCCCGCGGTTACCGCAGGTGTCGACGTAGACGGGTGCGTGTGAAAAAAGGGCCGTGAGCCCGCACGAAAACTGTCCCGTCGTCCAGTAATTTCGCCTTCCGCTCACGTACGCGATACACCACGGACGAGCTGCCTCTATAAAGACCATCGAGACGATGCAACACTGCCGGAATCGCGATCAGCTGGTCGATCGAAAGGTTCGTGCATCACACAGAGAGACACGTACACACGGATGTCGTAGTTAGGCCGCACAGTGTAAAGTTCTCGAGTGAAAATTTGTGTCCGGTGAGTGGAAACACGGTGATCAGTGTCTTCAAGTCTCGGGGAACGTCACACACTAGGGAACGAACTCCCCGCAAACACCAAGGACAAGCAGCTGCTCACAAGTAAACAAGAGGAAAAAAATCGCGTTCCGTTTAGCGTGGCAATAACACGTCGCGTGACCGCGCACGCCGTACGGTTTTGACTGTCGAAAACACAGTCCAGACACAAGTGACTCACACGATCGTCAATCGTTCCCTTCTATCGGTGTGCAAAATTCCACTCGATTCGACTACCTCGACTACACACGAAGAGAGAAACAGAGAGAGAGAGAGAAAGAGAGAGAGAGAGGGATAGAGAACACGCAGGTACGTGAAAACAAACGCGTCCTTCCCTATTCCTAATGTGAGAGTTGAGAGAGCGCCACGCTCCTAGACGAAATTACAGAACGTCCTCACATCACGAGCGCTCACGGCAAACTGGCGACTGGCGACGCGGCGGCGACCCCCCTCCCCTCGACTACCTCATCCTTTCCATTACTCTCCTCACCGCCTCCGCGCCGCTCCCCTGTTCCTCTCGACTCCCCCACGTCTCCTCATCCCATCCACACCGACCTCACTCCACGTTTCACCCATACCCCACTCTAACCTTCCTCCTCTTTCTCTCTCTCGCGCTGCACGCTCCTCTACCTCTCTCTTTTTCTCACTCCCTGCCACACTCCCCCCTCGCCTCCCGCCCCATCCCCTTTTTCCCGTTCTCTCTGTTCATCTCTGTCTCTCCCTCATGCCGCGCCCTGCTATGACCCGTACCGCTCTCACTCCCCAGCGGTCCTCCTCGAACGCGTCAACCCTCTCTCCTTCACCCCTGCTGTTCCTTTCTGCTCTCTGTCTCTCTCTTTCGTTCACTAGTTCGCCCACTGTACTCGTCCTATCTCTCTCTCCCTGTTACTCTTTTACTCTGTCCATCGTTCCCTCTTCGTTTAACCAACTGTCCGTCTCGGTCCTTCCTTTCCGCCGTTCCAGCGCCCTCGCCGGTTCACCTCGACCCTCCCCGGCCCGCGGCGGCAGTGGTGGCGGCGGCAGCGGAGGCGGTAAGGTAGGGTCTGTCACCATCAGAACACCGATGGGGCCGGTGGACGGGTAACTC